GCAGGTCAAGCTGTCAGGAAGCCTCCACTCCCCAGAAGATGCAGGCCCAAGTTCTGGCTGCTTCGTTTCCAGAGAGAATAGATGATGGCCCCTGTGCAATCTAGGTGGGAGACTCAGAGGAAGCTCCAGGCGCCTGGCTTTGGTCTGCCCCACATTCGGCTACTGTAGGCTTCTGGGGAGTAAACAGTGAACACGCTCAAGATCCTCTTTCTGGCTGCTTCCAAGAGAATAAAAAGAAGCCCAATGCGCCACCTACTGAAACAAAACTAAGTGTTACTCTCTAGGGCACAGCAAAGATGTTAGGAAATTCCCCAGCTGAAGACCCCGTTAGAGGATCTATGAACCTGGGTAACCGCTGGCCTACAGAACGAGATCACACTGCCTGGAGTGACTGGGTGGGTACCAGCCCCAGTCCCGGGTTCCCACCAAGCGGGAACACAGCAGGAGGCAGCCGTGAGCGCTCAGGTGACGGGCTCCCAGCTGGAGCTTCCAGTTCAGTTCCACCAGTCATGGGGATGTGAGCCAACAGATGGGGAGATCTGTCTGTTTCTCTGCCTCTCAAATAAATAACATTTTTAAAATATTTAAATAAGCTTAAAAGTTTTCCCCAGTAACTCTGTAACATAGCACAAACATACAAGATCTTCCAAGCAGGTAACTCACATTTTTCTTAAAATGACGTCATATACTTTCATACCTGCAGCTTAACCCCTCAAAAAGCTTACAGTTTGAAATTACACAAAAGGGGGCAGTATAAACTCCTGATCACATGCTTAGGAAACTGACAAATCCGAACTTTTCAGTTGGGACAGGAATCCTTAGGACAGCAGAAGCGCAGGCCTGTTGTCAGCTGGGCCGGCAGTCCTGACAGCCAAGGACCCAAGGCAGCTGTGATTTCTTCGGTGCTTCAAAGCACTTTCCCCGCCTTGCTGGCTGCAGGTCTGCGGTCTGCCGAGCAGGCCTGGCCTTCCACTCCCCCCAGGAACCCACTCTGCAGAAGGACACGATGAGCACAGCATTACAGTGGGTAACATGTATGAGAACAGCTGAGTGGACAGCGTGTGAATGACAACACTTGGTGGGATAAATAAATGAGTTCCAAACCAGGGCATAGACACAATTAATGGGTTCCACTGAAAAGCATGCCCTGGGTGTGCAAAGTCTGATGCTGCTAATACACTTCGGCTACTGGCCGCCAGTCAGAGACCACCAACTCCATCACTGCTGGACAGCGAACCCACTTCAACTGTATTTCCTAACCTCCTCCTTAATCCTTCACTGGAGCACATTAAAACCAGCTGCCTAGCGAACAGGCAAAGAACCTGGACATTCTGCAAAGCTACAACTGGCCGCACGCACAGGAGACGCTGTGCGTCCTCACTCACCACTCAAGTCAGGTAATGACACGCTGGTCCGAACGGGCAAGACGACAAACAACAAATGTTGAGGATCTGAAAAAACTGTGAACATCTAAAATGGTGCAACCGGCTGAAACATCCAACAAAAAGAACCAGCTTGGGTTAAAGGCTAGTCAGGAAAAGCCACTGTTCCTGCTGGGACAGGAGGTGAACTGAGTACGGCTGGCTCATGGACCCACTGGTATGCGTGAAATCTGGCATTGGGAGAGGTTCTGATGGAGAAGCCTGGGCAACTCCTCTGGCAGGACACAGAAGCGCAAGAAGCATGAATGGAAACAGCCCAGAGCAGGCCACAAGAAGTTTCCCACTGGCATACATTAGGCATGGATTGGGGGCAGACCAGGCTGAATCTGTTAACGTCATCACTGGCAAATCCGAGCACCAGAACAGAGTAAGGGTCGAGCCAGGTTTGGCTGCGATAAAAACCAGTCCACAATACAGAATGCCAGGATGAGGTTGTCTGTACTGGATGTGACTGCAGTGCCCATCCAGCACACATGAGAACCAGGAAGGGAGGGGGCGGAGCCAGCAAGAGGAATATGGGGTGGTTCCCTTGATGGACAGCTATTCCCACTGGAGAGCATGAACTGGGATGGGGGCAGACCAGACTAGGCAGGGCTACAACACCTGTGTGCCTCATGTGGTCTAGATCAGGGAAAAGCCAGGCTGGGTTGATTATTCCTATGGGTGCAACCTACAATTAGAGTGGGCGAGGGTTGTTTGGGCATAGCCGCAGCATCAGCTGGCAGAAGCTAGCACTGGGGCTAAACCTGTCAAGTTAAACTGCAGAACCACCTGGGAAGTGCACAATCCGGGAGTGAGAGACCTGGGAGGGAAATAGTGGGTTCCCCCTTCTTGGGTTACCACTCCCACGGGAGGGCACGAGAACTAGGACAGGGGCTGGGGTAGCTAGACAGAGAGACACTCAACAACACCCGTGAGGGCTTGATTGTTGAGCTGGTTAGATGGATCTAAGCTTCAATGCCAATTGCCACGTATGAGAGCCAAGGGGGATGTGGGACAGACTGGACTGGTCTGCTACACATACTGGCAAACCAGGGTAGGGGGCGTGCCTGGTGGAGGTTATTGTGGGCCGCTCTCATCAGGATGCAGCTCCCACTGATTTAGGTGAAGACCAAGTATGTGCTGTGCAGAACCAGGCTGGACTGCAACACCCATTGGTTCCAGTGAAAGGCGGGGCTGAAAACAGAACCAACCCAGCAATTGCAACTACCAGCTGACTGGGGAGATGGACTGTGCTGGGCCCTGTGCTTGCTGGTGCATATGAGTGTCTGGCATGGGAACACCTCAGACGAAGTTTCTTTGGTGATCTCCCCAATTGAAATGCCAGACTCACAACCCTAACCATGAAAGGACAGAAGATGGAACAAGTTAATCAACTACCTCAGCTATAGGTTGGCAACGAAATACCGGGCAAATAGAGGCGCTATGATGGACAATGTCAATCAGTGGATTTTTCAACGACCTCATCATGATTGGAGGGGCGAGATTGGCAGCAATTCATAACTAGTGAACAATTGAAACCACCTGAGCGAGTATCTCAGAGCATGCCCCACATGTGGGACTTGGGGTGGGTGGGAAACCGGGTGGGGCTTCTCCCAATATCCCACTTTACCTCAGATACATGAAGGAAACAATATGGAAATAATAGTCTTACCCACTTTCCTGTAAGCCCTTGACCCTTGTTAACTATGTACAGATTGTCAAAACAAAAAAAGAATTTGAAAAAATAAAATAAAATAAAATGGTGCAACCAGCTCAGGAGCTGCCCTCAGCCATCAGAGAACTGACCGCACATCACACCGTCCCTAGCAGCGGGCGCTCTGGTAGGGCCTGCGCCTGCCCAAGGCTCCAGCGGTCCTCGCTCGGTACCCTGCCCTCCTGGGGCACAGCCCATGCACTGAGAGCTCAGGGACCTCCCTGGCTCACACACTCACCACCTGCTGACATAACCAGGTGGGCCGGAGACAGGAGCCTCCTCCACGTCTCCCTCACAGGTGCAGGTCCCAAAGCTTTGGGCCGTCCTCGACTGCTTTCCCAGGCCCCAAACAGGCAGCTGGAGGGAATCGAGGCAAGAATTTAGCCACTAGACTATAGCGCCAGGCCTGACTGGCCGCCTTTGAAACTGGAAGGCACACTGGTGTCCTCTTGGCCAAGGGCCATGCTCAGGTATCTTGTTACAGTCATGAGAAAGAGACAGACAGGAGGTGACACAACTAATGCCCATTAACTGGTCAATGTCATCAAATGGAATATTAGTCAGCCATTAAGTCGCACGCACATGTACCCACTACCCCATAAGCCAAATGTGAACAGGAATTTGACCAAGTTAACAATGCTAAATTGAAGGAGCTGAAAACCAAAGGCTGCATCCAGCGATATCCTAGTTCCATGGAATGCCGGAGCAGGCAAAGGCGGGGAGCGAGCAGCAGGCTGCGGGGACCCCAGGGTCCTGGGCTGTTCCAAAGGACCACCTGCTGCTTCCTTCTGCCCGCCCAGGTGCACCAGTCACACACAGATGAAGTGCTTCTCCGAGTCTGAAACTGAGGCCACCTTCACTCCCTAACAGGGTCTAGGAGATTCCCGCCAGCCAGCGGAGCGGCAGGACTCAGGGTAAGTTAACACCGTGGGGTACAGAGCACACAGCTCGCACTTCTCACGGAGCTTTCCGAATCTGGAGAGGGAAGGAGAAGCGGGGAACCACAATATTTTTCGAATCGCATCTACCAACTATAGTGAAATTGTTAAAAGCTAAAAATCTTAAAGACATCAGCAGACGTTTTAAGGGGGGGGGAAGCAAGTAATATTTGCCACACCTGGTCTTCATATTGAGGGGCAATTTCCCAGAAGCGGGCCTTCCCCGGCGGCCCACACTGCACCTCAACGGGAAGGGCAGCGAGGCAGGGCCATTCCCGCCTGTGACCGGGCAGTCTCCCCAAATCCGCGCTTCTGAAGCTGTTAACAAACGCGCACGCCACATCGAGTAGACACTAACTCTCCAATTACCTATTTTTTAAAACGCATTCCTCAGCCCGCGCTCTGGTGCTGCCCACATGGCTATGCGTCTCTGTGCCCGGGGACCGGGGCTCGGCGGGTGCCCAGCACGGCGCCGGGACCCCGGGCTGTGACCTCCCACCGGGGGTGGGCCGGGGCCGGAGGGAAGGACGGACACCGCCGGGGGTCGGAGGGAAGGACGGACACCGCCGGGGGCCGGAGGGAAGGACGGACACCGCCGGGGCCGGAGGGAAGGGGCAGCTCGGCCGGGGGTCGGCCGGGGCCGGAGGGGAGGACGGACACCGCCGGGGCCGGAGGGAAGGACGGACACCGCCGGGGCCGGAGGGAAGGGGCAGCTCGGCCGGGGGTCGGCCGGGGCCGGAGGGAAGGACGGACACCGCCGGGGCCGGAGGGAAGGGGCAGCTCGGCCAGGGGTCGGCCGGGGCCGGAGGGGAAGGACGAGGGTCGGCCGGGCGGCCCGGGACACCGCCGGGGGTCGGCCGGGGCCGGAGGGAAGGGGCAGCTCGGCCGGGGCCGGAGGGGAAGGACGAGGCCGCGTCCCCTTACCTCTTCCAAAGCTGAAGTCATGGCGGTGCCGGGTCAGGCAGCCGGGCAGCAGACGGAGCAGGAAGCAGCGCGCCCTTGCGGAGCCGGAGGCGGACCACGGCCCGCCCGTCGCACGCGGAGCCTCTGGAACCTTCGCGACGCCGCCCGCCGCGCCGCCCGCCGCGCCCCTAGCAACCTCAACTCTCGCGAGCAAATGCGCGATCAGAGAGCAGGCGCGCCGGCTTCCCTCCCGCCCGCTCAGGCCCAGGCCGGCGGTAACCGCGCTGGCCGCGGCTGCGCAGTCGCAGCTCGGCGGGGCGCAGCCGCAGCTCGCGGCGCCGCCGCCATCACACCGCCCCGAAAATGACGTAACATCCGCGCACGAATCGGAAGTGGGCCGGTTGCGGGGCGGATGCCCGTTCTCGCTCGGCTCCCGGGCCGGCCCGGCCGCCATCTTGGGCGGGGCTTGGAGAGAAGGGCCGCGAGTACGGAGGAGCCGACCCGGAACAGCCGCGACGGGCACGCGGGGTTCCTGAAGGAGCCGTTGGAGCTCCGGGTTTGGGGCGCGCTGGGCGACGGGGCAGGGCTGCCGTGGAGGCTGCCCTCCTGGCCCCGGAGCCGCTCAGGGCTGCACTGCGGCAGCTGTGCCCGGGAAGGCGTGCAGCCGTGGCGCCGAGGCTGCCCTGGGGAGGAGCTCGGAGCGGAGAGCCGGTGAACGCTGACCGCAGGGCCCGGGCACGGAGGGAGACGAGCCGGGCGTGTGCAGGCCACGTCTGGGTCCTTGACGCTAACCCCGAAGGCTGCACGCGGGCCGGCCTGTTGAGCATCTCCGCGCGCTGGGGAGGACGGAGGCAGACAGGAGGCCCCGCTCCCGGCGGATGCTGCCACAGCTGTCTGCACTTAGAAACTTCCACTGCGCAGCGTCTCGCAGCGTGTGCTCAAGGCTATATTGCAAAGTGATAAGATACACCTGGTGCTGATACAGTTGTCGGTTTGTAGAGTGAAATAAAGCTGTGTTATATAAGTCACGCTTCAGTGTTGAAGTATTAGAGTTACTAGGTGCTCCAATAGGAACACCCGTCGCCGAGGGTAGAGACGGGGTCACCTTGTCTTGAAATGAGTCTTCAGTCTCAGGTCCGACATCCCAACCGGAAGTCCTGTTGGTGCCAGCTTCCCGCAACCTGCACCGCTCCCCGACAGGGCACCGCTCCCCGACAGGGCACCGCTCCCCGACGGCTCGCTGGTCTCCCGCAAGCAGGCACTTTGGCAGACTGACCATTCTAAGCTGAAGGAAGCGGCTGGGGTGTCTGGCTTCCCCTCCCTCCACCCCACCATCTCCCCGGAAGCACCTCTAAGATGCTCCTGTGAGGTGCCCTGAGTGCACTGGGAGGAAAGGCACGGCCCTGAGCGACAGGACTGAGCAGAAAGCCTGGCTGCTTGCTCCAATCTTACTGCCCTCAGGGCGCATTGGGTGGAGCCTGCCCTGCTCTGTGTCTGCTCTTCCTCAAGCAATGCTTTGTTTCTTCAAGGTTCTCACTTCCCGGTGAAGGCTCCCACGTCATGTATGTTGCCGCCATTGGCCTGTCTGGTTGCAGGTGCCAGGGCAGTGCATCTGATGTGGTCCCACCATTCATTGTTCTGGTGCATTTTTGCCTTTGGTTGGTCTTTTCTGCCTCCCACTGGGTCTTTACAGCTCAGTTTCCACAGAGCTGTCAGCCATTGGAAAGGTGGATACACAGAGAGGAGTAGAGACAGAGAGGAAAATCTTCCTTCCAATGAATCACTCCCCAAGTGACTGCCATGGCTGGAGCTGAGCCAATCTGGAGCCAGGAGCCTCTTCCGGATCTCCCACACGGGTGCAGGGTCCCAAAGCATTGGGCCGTCCTCGACTGCTTTCCCAGGCCACAGGCAGGGAGCTGGATGGGAAGTGGAGCTGCCGGGATCCTGGTGCATTCAAGGCGAGGACTTTAACCACTATGCTATCGCGCTAGGCCCCAGAGCAATCTTTTCAAATCATATATCCCTTTGCTTAAAAACACCTAATATTCCTCAAGCTTAAAGATTGTGTGAAAATAAACTTAGAACTCTTTACTATGCCCTGTAGTGATTGATGTGACCTTTCTTGAGCTTCATGTCCTAATTCACAGAAGCAATCTCGGGCCCGGCGCGGTGGCGCAAGTGGTTAAGTCCTCGCCTTGCACGCCCGGGATCCCATATGGGCGCCGGTTCTAATCCCGGCAGCCCCGCTTCCCTTCCAGCTCCCTGCCTGTGGCCTGGGAAAGCAGTTGAGGACGGCCCAAAGCTTTGGGACCCTGCACCCGCGTGGGAGACCCGGAAGAGGCTCCTGGCTTCGGATCGGCATAGTATCGGCCCGTTGCGGCTCACTTGGGGAGTGAATCATCGGATGGAAGATCTTCCTCTCTCTCTCTCCTCTCTGTATATCCGCCTTTCCAATAAAAAATAATAAAAATAAATCTTTAAAAAAAAAAAAAAAAAGAAGCAATCTCATTCTCCCTGGTTTGAACACTGGCGTGTTACATACTCATTGAGCCCACTGGGTTTGTGCTCATCTTTGAGTCTGTAACTGCACAGTATGTCAAATCACCATGGAAATCACTTCTCACAGATAATACCGGAAAGGTTCTTAGAGACCAGGTTAATCAAGACTTAGAGATGCAGAATCTGCAGGAGATGGGTAGATGAGCCGAAAGACTGAACAGCAATGGGTGTCTGTCTGTACACACACACACACACACACACACACACAGACTGTGCTTTGGCCAGCTTTGGCTTTATCGTTTGAGGTAGTGCAACTAAAAGTATGCCATCTGCTGGTTCATTCCCCAACTGCCTGGCTGGCTGAAGATTAAAGCTGGGAGCCAGGAACTGGAGCCAGGGCAACCCAGGGACTTACCTGCCCTGCCTTCCAGGGCCTGCATTAGTAGGAAACTGAATTCAGGAGAGGCAGTTGAATATTGAACACAAGATTCCAATCGGTATGGGACTCAGGAATATTATGCCTCTTACTTGCTAGGCCAAATGGCATTCCCTGGTCAATGTTTTTTAATCCATGATGAATTCCAACACGGGCTAACCACTCTAAACTTTCAGGATTGGGTCACCACAACAAAAGGCAAGTGCAAATTGGACATCAAGTGTCTGCAATGTGTTACCCACCATGCAACAGCCGCCTGAACGCAGCATTACCCAGATGCTTCAAGAAAATAATTTGTTTTTTATTGGAAAGTCAGACTTACTGAGAGAAGGAGAGACAGAAAGATCTTCTATCCACTGGTTCACTCCCGAAGTGGCCACAATGTTTGGAGCAGAGCTGATCCAAAGCTAGGAACCAGGAACTTCTTCCAGGTCTCCCACGCAGGTGCAGGGTCCCAAGGCTTTGGGTGATCCTTGGCTGCTTTCCCAGGCCACAAACATGAAGGTAGATGGGAAGTGGGGCCGCCGGGACCAGAACTGGCACCCACATGGGATCCCAGCGCATTCAAGACAAGGACTTCAGCCGCTAGGCCACTGCGCTGGGTCCTGTGTGTTTCTAAGTGTCAGAAGTGCTATCAAAACACTATGATTCAGAATAAAATCAACTAGAAAGAAAAAATGGACATATATGGACTTCAGAACAAATGTTTATTACCATTAAGTGGGACCAACAGGGCAACACAAAGCTTCGAGAACATCACTGACTCACAAACACAGTCACTTTGTCACTTTCTTGGTTGCATTTATTTATTTCACAAGGTTTCATTCACACATGAAAATAAGATACTAATCCAATTCAAGTTTAGAACAATTATAAAAGTAAACATTTGGACAATGTTCCATAAATTGCACTTCTCTTGACAAGCATTACATTTATAGAGTGTACTATACATAACACATGGGATTACGGAAGCATCGACTTTGTCAGTGTTTATCAAGGACGTTCACTGCATTGTTCGTAGTCATCACTGTTGAATCAACTCTTACTCTCTAACACCTGTTTTCATTAGGTGGGAAAATCAGAGTTCATAAAAATAGTGTACAATTATTATTACCTCCTCAGCAAGGGAGAACTAGGGGTTGGAAAAAAGTAACTGGGGCTGTCCGAGAAACTGTTCTTGGACTTGGTCTCCATGAGTTACAAAAAACACCAAACACTGAGGAACCGATTCAAAAGGCTATTGGGCGCGCTCTAACTTTATTCTTGTGCTTTGCTGATACCAGAATCTTGATGCATTTATAGTCTCACAAACCCATGTTCCACATTCCATACAGAATCTATAACTATTAAAAATTATTATTTACCAGAAAAGGTTTTGCCTGTTCACTGCCAGTGAAAAACAAAGGAGCTTAAAATACTCACTTTGGACTCAGTGATTGCTTTTTCTTTTCAGAATGACAAAGCCAGGGGTGCAGGTCGGCCTCATGGGGTATACTCACGAAGATGTTTTATAGCAAGCAGCCAATTCATCTGAGAAGCTTGATGTATATGCAGTCTTTTAGGTAAGGAACTGAGAAGGGAACACCGGACAGCTAGCCATTGTCACCAACAGCTTAAAGACATCCACTTTCCTCGTTTTTAACTCAATATCAGCATCTTGTATTGAGGTATAGTCCCCACTGAAATTCTCACTGGGGAGGCTTTCAAAAGTCAAGGACGTCACCAAGGTAAGGGATCTTACCCGGGTCATATGGAAGCCACTATGAGACAAGAAACAGGTTTGGGATCGTTCTAAATTACTACGACCATCAGCACAGTGCTGAGCCAGAACTCTGTAACTGGTTAGTCGGCAGAGAATGTGCCATCCAGCTACTACCTGGTCTTTCAGCTTTGATCACTATGACTTGCAATCTCAATATTTGGTTGTATGGATACTTGGAAAAATTCCATCAGTCAGTCAGTCAGTCAGTCAGTCTGTCACACACATGCGCACATGTCCGTCCCCCTCAGTGCTGGTCAAGTAGAACTCGCTCATTCTCACTGCAACAAAAGCAAGAGAATGGGAGCTGGTTTAGAGTTTAAGGGTAGATTACAAAATAAGATCATCTTGCGGAATAGCTGAAGCTGTTCTTTCTCAGAAGATAAAGCAAACAGGAAGCATTTTTGTTAACACCCTCCCCCCGCCCCGCCCCCAACACGGTCCTGAAATCGCATCACCACCTT